TATATATATATATATATATATATATATATATATATATATATATCAATTGATTAGTATGAAATCGATAAAAGAGTAATTTTAATTTTAGTCAGAAAATTTTTATTGAAAAGAAAATGAAAAGCGTGAAGAACAGGTGCAATGTCATCAAAGCATTTGCCATTAATAATTACCTATGCATATTTTATGAGCTTCACAAATGATGAACATATTATACAGAATGCAAATTTATATTATTCATTTCTTCATTTATTTATAGCAAATCTTTTTTAAATCCTATTTTTCTTTTTTTTTCTCTAAGAACAAATAAAATAGGTTTATTTATTTATTTTTTTTTTTTGAATATGAAAAGAATTAATTAGAATGATTTAATTAAAACATAAAATAATTGATGAAACCTTTCAAATATTACCATTAATTTGTTATTATTCTCTTTTGTCATTTTTTTTCCCAAAGATTGATTAAAATTGAACAATTATTTGGCCAATAATATTAGTGTTATATGTAATAGTATTCCGGTTGTTAAATGATTTCAAAATATTAGCAATAATTAAGATTTACTATTTAATTCGATCATAATGAAGTAATTTTCTTATGTTAAATGATAAATGTTAATTATTTCAGTTGTAAATTTTCAATATTTCATTTTAATATCTTAATTTTGCAAATATTTTTCAGAGCGAGAAAATCATGTTAGCACTAAGGACGCTATTAACCATATCTATGCTAGCAATTGCTATTAATGCTGAAGGTTTTGGTATGTTAAAAAAAAAATGAAAAAAAGTTCAATTTCTTATAAATTTGGAAATTCTCAAAAAAAAAAAAATTTATTGAATTTAAAAAAAAAAAACAGAAATGGTGCAAAAAATTTGTTGTACAGAGAAAAAAAAAATTGTTATGAGAAATTTTTTGGATGAAAATTTAAAATTTTCCTTAAATTTTCTTAACATTTTGTAAATTTTCAATTACTTATAATGTTACGGTGAACAGTTAAATCTATAATACAGGATGGTATATGAAATATTTTTAAAAATTAATTCTTCCTACTTATCAAATAGATTCCTCCTTACTTATCAAATAGATTTCTTCTTACTTATCAAACAGATTCCTTCTTACTTATCAAATAGATTCCTTCCTGCTTATCAAATAAATCCCTTCTTACCAAATAGATTCCTTCTTACTTATCAAATAGATTCCTTTTTCCTATCAAATAGATTCCTTTTTACTTATCAAATAGATTCCTTCTTACTTATCAAATAGATTCCTTTCTGTTTGTCAAATTGATTACTTATTGCTTATCAAATGCAATTTTATAAATAAACTGATTAAATTTAATTTATCCTTTAGCATTAATATTAATAAATCATTTATAAATCTTTTGCATATTTCAATAATTTACCATTCTTTTCCACTGCGTTCATTGCTACATTCAGATGATAAAAAAAACGAAAAAAAAGAAAAAAGCCTAATCCCTTTAGGAATATTTTATTTTGCTCTAAAATTCATTTATTCAATACAATAATTCTATCAAATAGCACTTGATAATATGCAATAATTACCTATTTTATCAGTTAATCGCTCCTAATCTAACAATCTCTAATTCATATCAAAATAATTTAATTCATTTTCTATTCATTTAATTTCAAATTTATCGATTATTCTGATGATTATAAAATTTCAGTTGAAGAAGTATCATGTACTGCTGATGCTATAAATGTGGTACTAAATAAAACGGATCCGGATATTCAACGTTGGATATCAGATCCAAAAGCGCAACCTGTTGTTTATGTTTATGAGCATAAAACTCGTCCACCATGTGGTACAGCAATGAAAAAAGGAAATTTAATTAATTATAATTTCACAATTCCATATGGTGTTCATTGTGATGTTCATTTAACTGATTTGGTTCGTAGTAAATTTATTCTTATATTTGCAAAAAAAAAAAAAAAAGAAAGATATTTTTAAACCTAAGAAAAAAAAAATGCCTGAACTTGTTTTTTTTCCGTCCATTTATTTTTTGCAGAAAAAAAATGAAACTAAAATGGAAATTTGCTATTCCTAAAATTTCTTATAATTGTAAATGAAAATTTTTGATTTTCAATAATACAAATAACTAAATTATCATTACAACTTAAAAATTAAAAAATTTCTTTCAAATTGTGCCAAAAATTTAATTAATTCATAATCTTTAATTAAAATTTTTCTATATTTTCAAAAATTTTGCAAATTTTTTTTTTCTTTTGCTTCATTTTTTCATTTTATTTTGTATTTAACAGAAAAAAGAAAAATTTTCTTTTTTTTTTTTTTTTCTATAATTTCTAGGAACCAAATTATCGTAATGCTGAAACGACAATAGCGCTTGAAGATAATACTGATATTACGCCATCAAAAGCTATACGTGTTAATCACGTTTTCTGTTTATATACCAGAAGTGTGCAAACTATTCGATTTAATGATATATCAAGGTTATCATAAATATAAATTCATTATTTTCCAATAATTTTCATGATCAATATATGATAATTTTATCAAAAATTTTAATAGAATTGTTAACATTTGTTAAAAAGTTATATATTTTACTATTAAAAGTTATATATTTTACAACTAATTAATTTTGCCGCTCCTAATATTTCAGCATAGAGTTCGAAAACTTCGGAAAAGTTCAAAGTTCAACATGTAATATGTTAATGCTAAGAAAGATAGAATACAAATTATGCATTCAAATCTGTTACTACTAATTACTACTAATTATTGCTATTAATTTGGAAAATTACAATTCTTGTTCCCTTTTTCTACTTAATATTATATCATACACATTATAATAGATAGTTTATCATATAACAGTATGGTAAATTGTAGTGGTCATGAAGTGGTTGCATCAACTGGTGGAAAACCAAAACCTAAAGTTGAAATGATCTTTCGTAGCATTGATGGACGACCTTTACGAGCTGCTAAATTTGGTGACATTGTTGAATTTTATGTTGCCCTTTCACCAGATAGTAAGTTAATGATTAAATTTTAAATTTTAAAGAATTTTATTTGCTATATTTGCTTATTATTTCTATTTGTTTTATTTTTTTACTATGCATTATTATTATTATCACTAATCGTTCTTATCAATGATATCATTGTAAATTGAAATATTTTCACTGATGTACAAGTACAATCTATAAATTGCTTAAATATGACATAGTTAATAATTGTCATGAATTATTAATTATTGATTTGAAACAATAAATGAAATCATTTCAAATGATTAATACAGTAAGAAATGATCGATGATAATTTAATGTGCTAATTTTCAGAAGCATATCGTGGAATTAGCCCCAAAGAATGTATGTTTTCTGATCGAGAGGATATGTCATCACCTGATGCAAAACATTTGACATTTGTCCAAAGCAGGTTAACCATTTGCGAAAATTTTGACATATATCAGAATTTTTAATTTACCAATAATAAATTATTACTCTAATCTATAGTAATTATTTATGTATTGAAATTTAAATTTGAACTATTCATTGTTGCACTTTGTTTAAAGTGACAATACATGATAGAATTGTGACAAGTTTTAATTCATTAGAATAATAATTGACAGAATTTATTGATGCTTTTGTCGAATTCAATTTTTATGATTTGTTCAGTTGTCCGGTTGATGAAATGAGTGAAATTATCGATCCGTTGGCAAATGTTAATGAAGAGGTATATTTTTCGAAATTTAAAACATTTCGTTTCGGTAATCAATCAACAGTATTTGCTCATTGTACCGTTCAAGTATGTCTTACTACCGAAGAATGTGTACAGGTATTTAATTAATATATATACATATATATTAATTTTTAATTAAAAATAATACTCGTCCTTTTTTTTTTCTGAACAATAATTATGGTTCTTTTAAAAGTAATCAGCTTTATCTGTGATTGGAAAAACTTTAGATTAGGATATGACGAAAATAATTAGAACTTTAACTTGAATTATTTTAATTAATCAAATCATTGAATTATTTCATTAATATTCCTCTCCTTTTTTTTTTTGCGATTAAAATGCATCATGCAAAAATACTTTGTGCTAAATTAATTCCATTTTAAAAGGAAATAAGAAAAAAAATGGAATTACAAAATTGTCGGAAGAGATTTTTTTGAAATGTTAATTTTTTTGTTAATTAAACAATAAAATTATCATTATATTTAATTGAAATATTAATTTTTTAATTGTCATCCCAGAAATGCTTCAAACGAATTAGCAATTTGAATTTAACTGCTGAACGATTACGTTTTCGTCATAGACGTCAATTGGATGATGATTACGATCTGACGACAGTAATTCGTAAACAAAATGCTATCAATGAGATTGCATTAACACGACCGTTGACAATTTTGGATGATTTGGAAAGCAATGAAGGTTATTTCATTTTTTCTTTCTCTTTCTCCCTCTCTCTCTTTCCCTCTCTCTTTAATCGACAAAAATACTATTCATTTAATTAGTCTATATTTTACTTTTTCAAATTTAAGAATATAAATTGATATGATTAAAATGATTTGATTTTATCATTAGAACAGTTCTTTTTTCCTCACGTAATAGCATGAAAATAAATAATAAAATATACTGAATGATTAAATACATTAAATAAAAATAAATAATTAAGTACAGTAAACGAAGGAAAAAATTATTGTTTCTAAAATTTTAATAAGTTAATTTTTATACTTTAAAGTATTTAATTATTTATTATGAAAATAAATTATTTTATAATGAAAGTTTTTCATGTTAATTAAAAACTTATTAAATTTCACGTTTTTTTTCTTTTTTCAGTAAATGATAAGAAAGTGGAGCAATGTCATATTAACAACAGTGCTATAATATCATTACCAATTATTATTCTTATCTTATCACTTTCAATGCTATCAATTATTTGCCTCACTGGGTTGATATTTACTCTAAGACGATTGGCTGCATATAAAAAACTCACTCCATTTGGCATATATAGGTAAGGCGTATCCGTAAAAAAAAAAAAAACTTTAATCATAGGTTATTATCGTATGACTTTAGAATTGATATAAATTAGAAACTTAATATTATTTCAGAAATTAATTTAAAAAATTATTTAAACTTAATTATTTATTCGAAAGTAATTAAACAAAAAAGTTTAAAATTTACATACAAAATACAACGGGTTCTTTATTTTTTTTACCATCTAAATTACAATAGTATATATTATTTGGATTTTATTCCATATTTATAATCTTGAAAATTATCAACAAATATTGATAATATTGAAAATCAAAAAGTGAAGGATAATAAAATAATCAAAAAGAAAAAAAATATTGATTCAAATCTTCGTTTCATTATGAATAAATTACGAATGTTTCTTGATATAATAAAATTATAGCATAAAAAAAAAAAAAAAAGGGAAAATTATTTTAGGAGGACCCAATAAATGAGGAGGAAAAGCCTGAATAATCTAAATTGATCGAAAAAAAAATCAATTACTAGGTTATTTTGGGAATTATTCTTAACCATAGTCTAAATCAATCCAAATCAATCACTAAGCTACTTTTAGGCTTCTCAGAGCTATTATTCAAATCAATCATTAAGCTATTTTTCCAGTGCTTATTCTGGACCAACAGTATCGCTTCCAATACGTACACTTACCAATTCAACGGCGCGTAGTTTAACGACAAATGGTAATCGAACAACTTGGATTGATCAGTTATCGGCAGGAATTGAATATCCGTATGTTCGAGAAATGTATTGACTGATTTTTTTTCAACATGATCATCTGCCTGAATTCTTTAATTTTCTTATCTATTTATATGGTTACAAAGATACAGTATGAAAAAAAATGAACTGATGTAAGATTAATTTAACTGAATTTTCAATTAAAATTTAAGTAATATTAATTCATTAAATGATAAAGAAGTATCTTTTGTGGTATCAAAAGCCAATAAACATAATTTCTTTCCAAGTATTACTGTCATACAATTTCTCAAGAGAAATACAGTATGGCAGTATTACAGTATGCCTTGTTTATGACAGTATTGCAGTATGTCTTGTCCCTTTTTTAATGTTATTTTCCAGTGTATGATCCTAAAAGGAATAATTAGTTACATTGCTTGCCAAATCATTTTGTTATTACTCTCAGATGAATTATTACTCTCGGATGAACTTTTTAAAATCTTTCAAATTTAATCCATTACCTTGTTTACTTGTTCACATTTTCTTTAATTCACTAAATTTTATTGTTTTCAATCGTCAAATTACCTGTTCATTGTTTCTCAAGTTTTCTTCTCTCTTTCTTTTTCAAGTATATTATTTGCCTGTATTTTATTTGCATATTTACTTTCTTCCAGCAACTTTTCATTCAAACTTTTAAAGTAATAAAAAGTGAAAAAAAAGCTTTGCCTGTAACTCATTCGTTCTATTTATTCGTATTTTAATTCAAATTCATTGATTTAAAGTTTATTTTGTTTTCTTTTTTGACGAGTGAAAAGGAAGGATCAGCGAGCAGAGTGCGATAAACATTCGATAGATCAATGATCAATTTTAATAAATCATTTACAAATGATACAATAAAAAAGAATTCTCTTGTAAATTCACCGATTTTCACACTTCTGAGAGCATCAATTTGCTCCTTATAAGAAAAGAGTTAAGATTTTCATAGAACAGAACGAAAAAAAATTTCCTCCGACGATTTAATACAGATTTGTTTCTTTCCGAGAAAAAAAAGAGAAAAAAGAGTAAACTGTTTCGTTATTTGTTACCTGTCAAATATCAATTTCATTTCACTAATATTATCTAATTAATTAAGGAAAAAAATTTCTACTGTTTTTGATGTTCCATAAAATATTTGGTCATATGCAAGAAATACTGTGATTATTTTTGAAAAATGTATCATACAGGTGTTATAATATAATACATTTCCACTAGTTCTTATCAATTTTTAACTATATTTAAGAAGTAAAAAAAAAGAAAAGAAAACAATGTACTGAAAAAAGATTACAGAGTGATTTTGTGATAGAATTAACGACAATAATGGATTATATCACTAATGAAATTAGATAATTTGATTATTCTGTCAGGAAAATGAGAAAATGATCTAAATAATTTGCATATAGTTTGGCTTTGATGTTCCAAATCTTCCATTTTGGCTTAAAACAGTAAGTTGAATGATTTCGGAAGACTGATCAATTATGTGTTATCAACAAAAAAAACATTTAAGTTAATTTTTTTTCTGATAAATTTCGAAACGCTTCTCATTGGATTAACACAATTTACCTATCTAAAAGATTTTTCATTTCCTGATGCAAAAATAAAACTTTGCTGGAAGAATAATTAGATTTCTTGAAATTAGGCTAGAAAAATACGACTTTTCTGTGTCGCCAATTTTCTTCAACTGTGACAAAAATTGAGGCTTCTTTCTGCTTTTTTGGGTAGTAGCACCTTAAATTTGGGTAATTAAATCTTTATTCCTATGAGTTGATTAATACAGAAACGAATTCATCAATTACAATATCAATAAGACAAATTCAATGACGACAACAATAAGAACAAAAGGAGAGACCAAAGATCAAATGACGCCCGTTATTGTCTGTCCAATCGATCTGTTAAAACATGTTTTTCGAAATGATTTGGCGCTCAGGACCTTCTTCTTCCTCAGATAGGGCGGATCCTGCTATAGTTCCGGGGTCGGTTCTGGGGTCAGTTCCGAGGTCACTTCTGGGGTCACAAGAATTATTATTATTAGAGAACAATATTAGTTTGTATTTCACAGTATACCTGTATATATAATACATTATACCAGCAGTATCAAAGCAATTATTGATTCATTGCTTCTGCTCGCGATTTCAGCGACATATTGATAGAGTAATTAGACTTCTTGAAATTAGACTAGACCAAATATGACATTGCTGAAAGAGTAATTAGGCTTCTTGAAATTACATTAGACCAAATATGACATACATTAATATTCGATTCTATAGTGATAGATTCGAGATAAACTTTTCTATAATGATAGATTCGACATAAATCTTTCTATAGCGATTCTATAATGATTCAAACACATTCAATTTACATGATTATCAGAAAATGTCATGATAATTTGTATGTTATAACTGCTCGTTTCACATCTGTTAAAACAGAATTAAATTTTTTGATCAGTAAATGAATTTATTTGAATAGATACTTGCATGAATCAAATGGAAACTTTCGAGAAATCCTTTGAATTGGATCAAGTATGGATGGCAATATTTTCAAAGTATTCGCTTTTTTTTTCAAAATAATAAAAAATTCTTCAAATGGAAATATTTTAATTTTATCAAATATTTTTAGCATTTTTAACTTATTCAATATGCCCTTTATGTATCATTGTCAACATTGCTTGACTTCTAATTTCCATCGTTTTTCTTCTTTCAAATACATTCAATTATTGGACACTGTTAATACTGCCCAAGTTATCACTTCAAATTTCAAGCGTTCTTTTCTGCAGGTGTTTCGAAAATTGTCTGAAAAATGAAAATTACAATTTTAAGATTAATTATAAAATCTTATTCGTTTGATATATCCGTAGGAATGTTTACAAGAAAGGTAATTTCTTTAATTAACTTTCCCTAACAATCCTTATCATGAGGAAAAATATTTAAATAATCGTCCAAATTATCCTTGTTAAGTAATTATTGTAATGAACAACAGTTTTGCTTGTAATTAAAAGAAGTAAGAAAATTGAAACTTATTTCTGCCATCTTAGCTCATTATTTGGCAGAGGTTTTTAAATGAAAATGTGTCGAATGATTCTAACATAACTTCTAAAAATTAAATACAAAAATACATCAAAATACATACAAAGTAATGGTTAGCTGCTTCTGGGCCTGCAAATTCCATAACTTTCTGGCGATTTTTTTCGGTAGTTTTCCTGATATATTTTTCTGTCCACAGTATGGCAATTGGTAAGGTTAATGCATATAACGGGGTTTGTTGTGCACCTGAATTTCAGTGAAAATTTCCGTACTTATATGAATATTTCTTTGGACTCACATTATTGCTGTTGGATAATATTATAGTACCATTTTCTTACTAAGCTGGACAATTTATACGACAATGATATCATTTTAGAAAATAAAGGACATTGATATTTTAGATTGGCGATAATCTAGAAAAAGCTATTTCTAGTATGCACCTTAAAATCCAATGAGTATATTCAAATAATCTCATCCCTTTGCAATTTTTGAGCTTGACAATTTGTAATTAACTCTGTGATTCAAAACTGTCCAATTTTTACCTATTATTGTTTATGTTTGATTTTTGAAATTTTTCCAAATAATTTCAATCTCATATCAGCCACATTTCATATATTCAAAATTTTTTCTCGCCGTATTGCTTGGGACAAACTCATTTGCAGCAAAGGTTTCACTCTATTGGAAGTAGCAAAAGCGATCATTGCTGGCAACAGCGATACA